TGCTTCCCCGCCGCCGACAGACGGCCACCGCACCACACTCAACAACTTGGCCATGGGTTCGTCCAAGGCTGCACCGTCCTCCACAACTTCTGGTTTCCGGCGAACAACAAGAAGATCGTCGTAAAAACAGAAGGAGGACACAACACTGCCAACAGAAAGAGGTACTCCTCTTCCCTTATTTGTGCAAATCTTACGTCTCCGCTCACACCGTATTCATCCCACGAAAGTAACTAGTTGAGCGCTTCTTACTACATCTTCTTTGTGATAGTAAATGCACAAGGTTTCCTCCCTTTTAGTATTTCACCTTTGCTAGAGGTCAGTAGCCCGCCTGGATTTCAATTCAGGGTCAGTCGAACCGCAATTAAAAGAAGCAGCACCCGCTTAGGCGCGCGGAGCACCTAGTCCGCCTGTTCCCCAGGGAAGCGGCGCATCGGTGTCTATCATAGGGGTGTGGGACGCAAGAGCTGCTTGCGCCCGATCTGGAGGTCGGCGGGGCTTGAATGGATGGCCAGGGGCGGTGCCAAGCACGGCGGTGCGGTGAGGTCGAGGGAAGGGCACAGGCAGGGGAGGAATACTGGGCCGGTGGTCGCTGGCGTTTCGAGCAAGATCGTCAACACTGACTGGCTAGAGGTAGATGAAGGCGATCTGCCCGTTCTTTGTACATCGGACGGTGCAGAAAAAATGGACTGACCTATTTGCTTTTAGTCGGCTATTATTTTCATAGAATCCTTTAGTAATTTTGTCGTGGAATTGTCACGGCAGATGTCCTAGTGTGAGGACTTAGTCGTGAGGCCAACGCATCTATGTGGTAGCTTGAGAGGGGTTGAGCGGAATCGAGAGACGCAACACAAGACAAGGATTTAGATAGCTTCGGGCCCCGGGGAACATCATCCGGTAATAGCCCTACATGCTGCTTGTGGCTAGATCTCATTATGATCATGAGGAAGTCGCCGTAAACTGGCTCTCCCAGTTAACCCTAACCCTTAAGATTGTTTCCTCTTACTTGTCCCTCTTTGGGGAGCCCTGCCCCTCCTTATATAAGTTGAAGGGGTGGGTTACATGTAGAGTACAACTCGGACTTAAGACTTAACTATTATAACTTCTCTTCTTGGGCTTCTTAACATCTTGGGCTTCATAACGTCTCGGGCTTCATAACATCTCGGGCTTCATAACTCCTGGCGACCCAGTTACCACTACCTTCCCGGGAGTTAACTAGTGCCGGTTTAAGATGGTCTGCCGGGAGTTAACTGGTGCCGGTTTAAGAATGTCTGCTGAGTTATAATCTGACTTAACTCCTGTCTTAATTGTCAGCCGGTTTAACAACCGACCACTTTATCGTTTGGGTTAACTGCCTGTTTTACCTGTCTGTCTTAACTGTCAGCCAGTTTAACAACCTGTCGGTTTATCGTCTGACTTAACACCAAATGGTTTACCACCTGCCTTAACACCTGCTGGTTTACCACCTGCTTTAACACCTGCTGGTTGACCACCTGCTTTAACACCTGCCGTTTACCACCTGCTTTAACACCTGCCGGTTTACCACCTGCTTTAACACCTGCCGGTTTACCACCTGCTTTAACACCTGCCGGTTTACTAAGTCCCTGCCGGGTTATAACTCCGGCCGGATCATACCGCGGGGTATATCCCCGACATTAGCCCCCAGTTTAATTTGGATTTATCCATGTTAAACTGATCCTGATCATCCTTAAGTCTTTGTTACTTCCTTCTTCTATAAAATCCGAGTCAGTGGGCCAGCTTCATAATCAATTTGCTGACATTGGTTTGTCACAGAGAAATATTGTGAAGAATAACTCCTTTTGACTTCAGCTCCCAATGCTCAAAAATATTGGCCTTTGAAATACTCATCTGATCTTCAGCCGGTTTAAGAATGTAGAACCTTGCCGGTTTAAGAATGTAAAACCTTGCCGAGTTATCATTACCGGTTTACAAATATTGATGGCACCGGGTCATAATTGTAGTTAACATCAAGCTTGAAAAATTTACCTCTTATATGCCTATCACTTGTAGCCCCCAAGTCTTAAGAAGGTAGCATAGCAACAACTTAAGACTTGCTTCAATATGAATGTCACAAGTTTGAAGAAATCCAGGTTGTTCATCTCAATCACCAGTCAGAACTGAGTATTCCACATATGTAGCCCCCAAGTGCCGGGTTGTCATGCTTGCAGCAACCTGGGACTTGAAATTGCCTTATGCTCATAAAAACTTCAACCAGTGTAGCCCCCAAGGGCCGGGTTATTATGTAATAATGAGCAGGGACTTTATAAATATAATCATGTAAACTTGAGCAGCAATGTGTAGCCCCCAAGGGCCGGCTTAGTAGATAATATTGAGCTGGGACTTTATATATACTTCATTGAGAATAACATTATACGATGTAACCCCCATCATGGGGCTTGAACCCACGCCCACAAGGTTGAGAGTGTTGTGCTTTACCAACTGAGCAGTGGATCCTTCAATAATAGATGAAAATTTGTGTACCTTGAATTGTTGATAGGAGCAACTGGTAGCCCCCAAGGGCCGGCTCATTACGATGTGATGAGTCGGATCTTCAATAAGTGAGCAAATAATGACTTTGCATTAGCCCCCAAGTGTCATGGTGCATGCTTGCAGTGACATGAGACTTGTGTACTTGATGTAATCCCAACTTGAATAATGTAGCCCCCAAGTGTCGGGTCGTAAGCCTGCAGCGACTCGGGACTATTCCCTTCAATTGTAGAATAAATCATATCCATTGATAATATGATAGTCATTGCGCTAAAGAGACTTCAAAAACCTTAATCATAATACCGGTTATTGATAACCATAATAAAATCCAGCCATGTTGGCTATTAAAGATTTGAATAATATGACTTGGTTTGAAAACCGATTCCTGCCCTATAAGCCGGTATATCCATGCACATATGATACATGCTATGATGATGTAATAATGATGTATGATGTAATATATGATGATGTATGTGTATGATCAAGAGGGTTTAAGCTATGGTTCGGATATGACCAGAGTCCCCAAGTAGTCATAATTGTGGCATTGCGCCGATCAAGAGGTGTAGCTATGGTTCGAATACGACCAAGCCCCCAAGTGATTTTCCTAGTGCTCTTATGCCTATCAAGAGGTGTAACTATGGTTCGAACCCATAGCCCCCAAGTGATTTCCTTGGTGGCCTTATGCCTATCAAGAGGTGTACCTATGGTTCGGATACGACCAAGCCCCCAAGTGATTTCCCTGGTGCCCTTATGCTTATCAAGAGGGTATAAGCTATGGTTCGGATACGACCAGAGCCCCCAAGTGATTTCCCTGGTGGCCTTAAGCCTATCAATAGGTGTGACTATGGTTCGAACATAGCCCCCAAGTGATATTGTGAGTTGTGCTCAAGGCATACCCATGTTTGAGCTGTGCTATGCAGCAGACTCTCTTTGGCCCCTTATGATAATATTGGCTTGATAGCCGTATCAAGAGGTGTAGCTATGGTTCGAATAGGACCAAGCCCCCAAATGATACTGTGAGCTGTGCTCAAGGGGTACCTATGTTTGAGCTGTGCTGTGCAGCAGACTCTCTTTGGTCCCCTTAATTTTTCCTGAGAACTCGAACTTGCGAGAGATTTATTCTTTCAACTGGAAATTTTTAAACCGGATATTGAGAGCGTCAAAGCTTTATGGGAGACAACCTTCCCTTGAGTCGGATTTTTAAACCGGAATCCTTCTTTTTAAGCTAAAAATTTTCTGACGGCCTTTAAATTTGCACCAATATGGCGGTTTAGGGTCCTGCATTAGATAATTTTGCAAGCCGGAGTATTTTCTCTTTTAAATAAAGCAATATATAATATAAATATATACTGGATAGATTTCACCTGATATGTTAGGCCAGAAAATATCCACCGCGGAGTTAACCATCACCACAGTGAAGGTGAAATCCATCACGGCCGAGACGGCCGCGGGAACAGACAGACGGGGCCGGCCACGGCGTTGTGAGCCGGTGCAGACGGGCGAGTCAATCATGTTGTGTTGATGTAGCGGGGGCGGCGGTTCACGTATGTATCCATCCAGCAGCACGGCACGGACAAGTGCTAGTGCAAAAATCGATGCTGGCGCGCCCCCCTTATGCAACACCTTTATAATGAATAGTAGTCCTGCAAAAAAATATCACGGACCAGAATAATTGTTCTTTGTTAAAAACAATATATGCCAATAAAATATCTTGGGATGGACATCACCTGATTTATTCGAATAATGGATGATCCACAAGTGTCATCTGTAGATAACTTTTTCTATACAATTGATCCTTGTATGTTCTCGGGACATGGTCCACGGTCTCGGTACTTACGCAAGAGTGATATCCACACACTCCAATTGATATGACATTTTATCAAGTGGACCAGAAAAAACTCCCGAGTCGGTCGTTTGTTGACTGATCTGCTTCTCCCTTTCATTTTAATTTTGACTTTGTTGTCCCTCAAACCGGCCCTTCACTTGCGTTTCCTGAAGCACCTTGTTTGGATATGCTGTTTTATCAGAGCTGGTTTCCCGTAATCCGATCTAACCGTGTAACAAACTAAAACCACGTTTGGGTGGTCCAATAGAAACGTGGATAAGCAGAATTCGGTTTCCACAAAGCCAGGAAAGTGCGTCTAGTGAAAAACAACTAATACTCGTTTTTATAGAAACCTGGTTACATAAAACAGACTTTTTTTCCCTCCACGTCTTCCTCAACAAACTTGTTGGCGCCAACTGTGCCTTCCCGCGCAACTAGCACGCGCCCTTTTTTCCAAGCTTCTATATATATACAGGGATGCCGGCATAACAAACATCAACAAACAGGATCTGGGTACGTGCTTCTTCCATGGCTGGCCGCCGATAACGGCTGTGATCATCGATCTTCTGGCCATCGACGCTAGGCTGAGATCTCCAATCAGACGCCGCTGACCCTGCTGGGACAACAAGAGCTACCTCCTCGACTTGTTTGCAGCAAGAAATCAACCTTCATGAGCCTACAGGTAAGATTCATAATCAGAAACTGATGAACATACTCAAACTTATAGCAAAATTGTTCATGTTCTGAGGAAACAAGTGCAAGTATGGAACTTAAATTGCAAAGTTCTGCCAACATGTCTTTACTCGAGTGATGAATAGACAAACCTTCTCTATGCACTAGTCGTAGTTCAGCCTGAGTCGTAGTCATGTAATTTTAGTACAAAGCTGACAATTCTTTTATAGATGCGATACCCTTGATATTGATTTAGAAATTGCTTCATGCACGATCCTGCTGCCCGATGCATGCACGGCATCGAAATCCAGCGGCCGGTGCCCGATGTATGCGCGCATGTGTGGCCGGATTTTAAACATAGTCCATATTTTGTCATGTGTATAGCACAGCTCTACTGATTTTAGTACTCCCTCCGTTCCTAAATAATTGTCTTTCTAGCCATCTCAAATGGACTACAACATACGGATGTATGTAGACATGTTTTAGAGTGTAGATTCACTCATTTTGCTCCGTATGTAGTCACTTGTTGAAATCTCTAGAAAGACAATTATTTAGGAACGGAGGGAGTAGATCATAATTACTTCCATCATAATGGAAGACCATTGGCAGTAAATAGTACTAGTACAGATAAGTAGGGCCAAAAGGTAATAAAAAATCCTTTTTTTCTGCTTAAGTGATTTAACTAGTAGTAGTTTATATTGTTTTGTTTACATGTAGGAAAATATGGACGACCAAATCAAAAATATTAAGAAGGAAAAGACCGAAAAGCAGCCCATAAAGCGCCACACATGGAAATCTTCAGAGGACAAAATATTGCTCAACATATTAAAAGATCAAACTCAAAATGGAGGTAAGGAAGGAACAGGATACACAAAGAAAGCATGGCGTGAAATCCTAGAACAGTTCAATGAGTCAAAGGTAGACAAACTTGAGTTGCAACAAATAAAAAATCGTCATAAGTACTACAGGAGTTGTTATGCTAGCATGGACAAACTTCTAAAGCACACAGGGTTTGGTTGGGATGACGATGATAAAATGATCAAAGCTTCAGAAGAAAGTTGGGCGGATCTCATATCGGTAAGTTGAAACACATTAATTTTTAAATATTGCTATATCATACAGTTGAAAAATGGACTTACAATAAACTAACAAACTGCAGAAGGACAAGAATATTCAAGAATACCGAGACAAAGTGTGGCCTAGTTGGATAGACCTTCAGGACATTTGTGCTAGCTCTACCGCATCAGGAGTTGGTGCTATATCTAGCAAAGGGAAAGGTGGAACCAGCAAAGAACAAATTGAAATTGATCTGAATGAGATAGTAGAAGTTGAATCTGATGGAACAAATGATTCCCCTGTTGCTTGTCCTAAGAAGCCTAACACCACTAAGGTCGAGAAAAAGAAGAAGGGCAATGCAAGTGGGTCGCAAAACACTTCAAAAGGGCAAAAGCGAACAGCTGATGATGCTATTAATGCAATTGATCGCCTGGCAGATGCATCACTGATTATTGCAAAATCAAAGAAAAATGTAGCACAGCAAACAGAAGCTTACTCAGTGAAAGCATGTATGCAGATATTAAATAGCATGCCTGATGTTGAACCAAACAAAAAATTGAAAGCTGCACAAGCATTTGAACATGTTGATAAAAGGGCTATTTTCATTGAGATGGATGAAGAGACTCGGTCTCTCTGGGTTGAAAATGCGTAGTTTTTTACTTGTTGTAGTGTACTGTTTAGTTTTCTGAATAGGTTGTATTTGCAATTTCCATAAATTCCTTCTGTAAGTTAGTGTTCAAACAATCAATATGCAAATTTATATATTTATTTGGTTCGTGCTACTAGTTATATATGGTCTCATATATAAATCCCTCTTCAGAACTTGGATTTATATTTGTGTGTGTGTGTGTGTGTTCTACAAATACATAAGCTTAAGATATAAGTGAGAAGTTGATGGCATACCTTTCCTTTTGGTTCATTGGTTTAAACATCAATGATGCAATGTTGCTCTTTGCGTCAGTACATATCTCCATTTTTATCATCAACCTAGCGAGTAAAATTTGTCACCGAAATCATTCAATGTTCTCCTATCACTCATTCAATGATTCTTGTCCTACCATTTAATAGAAAATTTATCAGCTCTAGAACAATAACATTGTAGAAATTCCGACAGTTAACCGAAGTTGCTACATGAAATTTTGCAGGGAAACCATGGAAGATATGGCAGATGGAGACTATTCTGATTCTGAGCAAATTATTATTAATGACCTTTCTGCAATGTCACTTTTGCAACATGTGCTGTTCGGAAGGCTATTCAAAACACCACGTAATACCTCTAAATTAACTGGTGCGCAAAAGACTAGAGAGTGGTTGGAAGGACATCCAGTTAGATTTTATGAACAACTTCGTGTTGATAAGCACACCTTCTACTTATTGCGAGATGCATTGTGCGAGAGGAATTTACTTACAGATACAAAACGGATGGACGTCAATGAACAACTAGTCATATTTCTACATACAATTGGTCACAATGTTAGGAACCGTGTTATCCAGGATAGATTTCAACATTCAGGAGAAACAATAAGTCGGCATTTCAAGAGAGTATTAAAAGCCATTAATGGCTTACGTGATGTTTACATAACAGATCCGTCCAATGAAGTTCCCAACGAAATATTGGGCGACTCAAGGTTTTACCCATACTTCAAGGTATATATTCTATCTCAAGAACATGTTCCTTTTGGATATTACTTGCAGCAAAGTTCAAATCTTCAATTCTAATTCTGAATTTTTCTCAACAGAACTGTATGGGAGCAATTGATGGGACACATATTAATGCAAAAATCAAGCTTGATAAACAAACTCCTTACAGAAATAGGCATGGTTATCCCTCTCAAAATGTAATGGCAGTAGTGTCATTTGACATGACATTTTCATATGTGGCTGCTGGATGGGAAGGTTCCGCATCGGATCAAGCCGTATTAAGGTGGGCTGTTACTGATGGTGGGTTTGTTGTCCCAAAAGGTAAAAATAAAAAATACATGAATTTACATGCAAGTAAAGTTTGTCTCATTGTATCAAACATGTAATGATATAATAGGAAATTTGAGAGTGATATCAAACTTTACATGCAGGTAAGTTTTATCTCGTGGACTCGGGCTATGCAAATACTCCAAGATTTATTGCCCCCTATCGTGGAGATCGCTATCACATTGGTTCTTTTCGTGGAACTAAACGTCGATATAGTAGTGAGAAAGATTTGTTCAATCATCGTCACGCACAACTACGGAATGTTGTAGAACGTATTTTTGGCGTTCTAAAAGCTCAATTTCCAATATTAACAAGGAATGGAGGAATCCCTTATCCTTACAAAAAATAGGTCCAAATTGTTATGGCTTGTTGCATCATCCATAACTTCATAAGGAAGGTTGATAGGAATAATGAGTTGCTTGAGCTTTATGAACAAGAGGGAACACAAGGAGATGTTGACACCGGTGACCAAGAAGTTCGAGGGCAAGCAAACTTACAAGAAGATGATCGAGTTGCCGGTGAAAGAGTACGTGCAAGCATCGCTCGACAGTTGTGGAGTAATCTCCAACAGCATGCCACTCAGGAAGAAGAAGATGAAGATGATTAATTAAGCACTAAAATAGTTGTTATCATTTTTATTTACAGGTACATTGGATAACTATCGACAGATTTTTCATTCATTTGTAGGTTCACAAGCTTTACATTCAATGTTTCAATGCTAAAATCATTTTCTTGTCCATTCACACATCATACAGCAAGTTCGGTATGGACCTTGAGAATATAAAATTACTGAGCTAGAGAGAAGCTCACCTCACATTATCTGAATGAAGAGTCTGTCACCATAGTCCCAGATCCAGCATGCCACGAAGAGGGCAGCTCATACTCATCCACTGGAAGTAGTTCAGACTGCGTCGAGCACGCTCTGGACTCCCTGGATGCCTCGGTAGTGAAGGGTCTAGAAGATGGGGCGGATTTTGTCCTCCGCCACCAACCACAGTCGCGAGTCGTCCACCGCGACAGCGTGCCCTTCTTCCCCGCCGGTAGGCCTCCACCGCGAAGAACAGATGGGACGCCCCACGTCTGCACTGCACGCCGCGGAACCATACGGCATCGCCGTGGTGGCGTCGGTCGCCGGAGCCGGGGCCGTTGACGGTGTGAGGAGAGTGGAACGGGAAGCGGCAGCCGCGCAACCGTACGGCTTTGTCGCCGTGGCGGCGGTCACCGGAGCCGTTGATGGCGTGGGGAGCTTGGGCTAGGTCGAGCTCCTCGAGGAACAGAGACGGTAAGCTGCGGCGGCGATTTGGGGAAGAAGCGGAGGCGACTTGAGTTCAGAGAGACACAGGGGAAAGTAAGCGGCGTCTACAAAGTACTAACTAATCCAAACACGCTTTTACCAAAACTTGTTTTAACGTTTTCTCACCCAAACGAGTTATTCCAGAAACTCCTGGTAACGAAAATTCTCCCTTAAAACAGGTTTTCCTAAAAACACTCCTAAAACTCGTTTTCCTAAATCTCAGGTTTTATTATTGGTATCCAAACAACCACGAAGCAGGGTTGGTTTAGAATAGTGGTCTGACGGCCAGTGGTTTGTTTCGCAGCCGTAGAGGAAGGGCCAAGCGAACAAAGGGCTGGCTCAAGGCGCGACGGGTCGACGAGGCGGAGGCACAAGCGGCTCTCAGAACCGGTTATGGCAGCGTTGGGAGTGACATTGGTGAGGGCAACTTTACGCAGTGCCGCGGAACAGGGGCCTGCCCTTGGTGAGTGGCGACTCAAGGCCACAGACGGGCAATTCAGTGGAGTGGAGTAGGACAGCGACTCGCCGCCGAGGGCCGCGGCGTCTTGAGGCCACTCGAGTGAGGCGGTTTAGAGGTGCACCGGCAGCTGGCGGTTTGGCAACAGCCAAGGTCGAACGCGGCCGGCGGCTCGAGTTCGGCGAAATCACAGGGCGCTTCTAGGCGCAGTAGGAGCGACGGCATAGTCCGGGTCATGGCCAGCTCGGTCGACTCACTTCTGTATCCTCGCATCCAGGAATTAAGGTGTGCAAAAGATCCACTATAACAAAATAGGCATGTAGGGACGTTTTTGTATCGACGCTTTTATCAACGTCTTATTATTCAAAATCATTTGGTGCATAGGGACGATTTCTGAGGCGCAAAGGACATCGTCCCTTGGTTCCCATAGAAAAAAAAAAGGATTCCGGTGGTTCAAAATATCTTGCGCCACCACCACCACCCTAATCCCCCATCGTGCGAGATGGCCCAAGAAAGTAACTTTCATGGAAAAAGGGTGCGATCTCTGGCCTCTAAACCTAGCGCCGCCATGCCACACCGCTGCTCTCTGTCAAGATCCTGCTCCTCCTCACCCGGACTCGCTGTAGCAGGTCCACACCCCTCACCTGTCGGCCGCCAACTGTAGGCTCGGGGGCCCGGGCCTCCAGGCGGTGGCCCAGCCCCACTCCGGCCGCCTCGAGCTGCAGCTCCGGCACACCATGCACTCCGGCTGAAAGGAAGATGACGGGTGGTGGAGCGGGCAATGGAACTGGACATCGCCACCTCCTCCTACTGAGATCGTAGCGAGATACGACCCGACAGAAGGTAGAAGAGGAACAAGATCGACGAGGATGAAAGGTATTGATCAGTTAGGCGCTCGTTTATTTGTATGTTCGCTGTCCTTGTCGTTCAGACTTTGATTCAGATCCACCTTTCTGTATGTAGCTGTTTTATTTGTTCGCCCACGGCAACAATGTTATCAGAGACTTAATTAGTTTATATAATCCTCGGGGGGAAATTGTATGCCCCGGCGACGACTCCCACCCGGCCCTGCATTTGCTCGCCCGGCATCCTCTATCTCCAAGAACCCGACGTCTTACGACCAAAAAAAAAAAATCCAACAAGCGTCGTCAGCCATGTGAAGCTCGTTTTCATCAGGTAGGCTGTCCTCTTGCTTGACACTGTCGACTAGCAGCAAGGCGGCAAGTTCATTTATATGTGAGTTGATCTAATTTTTGTTTTAGTTTTTCTACCAATTCATCCCAAGTAAAAAATTGGAGCCGCTCCCTTGATGCGTACTTAATTGTGGAGGAGAATCTTGACATTGTACATTAGATTATCCTATTAAGATAGGACAACACTGTTTTGCCAGTTTTTTTCTGAACTCTCATCTGTTTACCGATTAAACATTTAGACTACCACTTCAATTTAGACTACTACTTCAATTTACACATAGCTTTTTTCGTTGTTTGCTCCCAAACTATTGGCCCTCACGTATGCAGGTGCTTGATAAAAAGCCTCTGATAATATCCTGATTGAATAGGATGGTCAGTGTTCTTAACACATTTTTCTTTTTCATGCAGTTAATAATAGTTGTTTATCAACTGTTAAATCACCTTCACCCCCTCCCCTCCCATAACTAAAATTAAGAGCTTTGTGCCCATGTTCTGACATTTCTTAAAATTAACATGGCTTCTACTCTAAACAGAGAGATCAACTCACACATGCAGTTTCTCACCTGCAGAAACTTTTCTCATGTTGTCTGATAAAGAGCACCAACTCCGCCTATGTCTTCTAGGCATAGCCGGTCCCAAGCCCGGGTAAAGGAGGAGGGTTGTGATAGGCTTGGCGAGCCAACGTAAAAACTAGCCAGTCCCATAGGTATGAAACCCATTTGAGCGAGAATAGTACTAGG